GTAAGTATCTGAGGACACAGTTATTGCTGGACATAGTTCATGTCACTAGTGGCGCGCCCCCGGTCTGGCTGTCGCTACTCTCTAACTTGCTACGTGAATGTTGGCACCCTCGCTGGCACCCCTCTTTGGCACCCCTGTTGGCAGCCTGACTCTGGGCACCACCACCAACCTTGTCTTGCACTAGTGCCATTTAGGTGCCACTGTCACCATCTCCACGCTGGGAGGTGGCAAGGGTCATCCCCCTTCCTATTGGCAACTGACTGACGAATCAAGTGCTTTTCGGTGGGAATGACCCCTTTCCCTTCTATTGTCCAGGATTAAGCGAACTAAAACCAGTGCTTGATGTTGGCAAGGAGCTTTTGTCATGAGAAGCTTCAGGGCAGTGCTTGGAGAAGTGTTTGGGCTGAGAGATGTTCTGTTTGGAGAATATTTTTTTTTTCAAGAGCTGACACTCACTTTTTAAGCAAAATTTGTCCAAATTTAGCTACGGCCGAAGCTCAGGCACTTCCAGATCACAGCCCAACGATAGGCCTACGAAAGACTTTTGTCATCATGTAACTTTCATATCCCATCAGCAAAGTGGAACATTTCTTCACTCCGGATGCCCTCATCTATTCTTTCTTAAAACTCAGAGTATGAATATAATTTAGCTTTCAACTTATCTCCCGGAGAAGCTGGGACAGTCGTTCTTGTTGGCAGACAGACAAACAGGCTAGATCTTTCCCACATACAGGAGAACCTCAGCTTACAGACGAGTTATGATTGTGACTTTAGTAAACAATAGCATAGGTCGACAAGTGTTAAATTCAAAGAACTTTAAAGCAGGAAGAGCATTTGTTAACTGTTTCACCCACATTGGGCGAAACGTCGCAAAATAAAGGTTTCGTTTTGCCTGCTTGAAGTGTCTTTGAGTTACCCTTTACAAAGGAGTTATTTATATAGAAAACAATAGCACACAGGATGACTGTTTCACACAACTTCGCACCGCGGCTCAGAAAGGTTGTAAAACTTTTAATTGTGTTTTTTAAGGGTCCCATCTGCAAGTGCGGACGTACGTAACTTGAGGCGTTCGTAAGTGCGGACGTGCGTAACTTGAAGCGTTCGTGAGTGCGGACGTGCGTAACGTCATGCGTTTGTAAGCAGATATCAAATCCTTCAGGTTAAACATGAAATTCAAAGAGTCGGTTCCTATCACGTAAGGTCTATCACTCTTACTAACTGTTATCATACTTCTCCCGTTGTTATCATGCAATGTCTCCCGTTGTTATCATGTTATGTCTTCTCAATGAACAGAAGGGAGCAGAATCACCAATTATTTCACAGGAGGGAGCAGTAAATTTAGTAACAGTAAAAACACTGAATCTGTTCACGGTAAAGCAGGAAGGACTCAAAGCTGAACACACCTTGCTGAACACACCTTCCTGAACACACCTTCCTGAACACACCTTCCTGAACACACCTTCCTGAACACACCTTGCTGAACACACCTTCCTGAACACACCTTGCTGAACACACCTTCCTGAACACACCTTGCTGAACACACCTTGCTGAACACACCTTGCTGAACACACCTTCCTGAACACACCTTGCTGAACACACCTCGCTGAACCCCACCTCGCTGAACACACTTCGCTGAACACACTTCGCTGAACACACCTCGCTGAACACACCTTGCTGAACACACCTTGCTGAACACACCTTCCTGAACACACCTTGCTGAACACACCTTGCTGAACACACCTCGCTGAACACACCTTGCTGAACACACCTTCCTGAACACACTTTCCTGAAACACACCTTCCTGAACACACCTTGCTGAACACACCTCGCTGAACACACTTCGCTGAACACACTTCGCTGAACACACCTTGCTGAACACACCTTGCTGAACACACTTTCCTGAACACACCTTCCTGAACACACCTTGCTGAACACACCTTGCTGAACACCACCTTCCTGAACACACCTTGCTGAACACATCTTGCTGAACACACCTTGCTGGACACACCTTCCTGAACACACCTTGCTGAACACACCTTACTGAACACACCTTCCTGAACACACCTTGCTGGACACACCTTCCTGAACACACCTTGCTGAACACACCTTGCTGAACACACCTTCCTGAACACACCTTGCTGAACACATCTTGCTGAACACACCTTGCTGAACACACCTTGCTGAACACACCTTCCTGAACACACCTTGCTGAACACACCTTGCTGAACACACCTTCATGAACACACCTTCCTGAACACACCTTGCTGAACACACCTTCCTGAACACAAACCCTTTCCCGAACACACCTTGCTGAACACACCTTGCTGAACACACCTTCCTGAACACACCTTGCTGAACACACCTTGCTGAACACACCTTGCTGAACACACCTTGCTGAACACACCTTCCTGAACACACCTTCCTGAACACACCTTGCTGAACACACCTTGCTGAACACACCATCCTGAACACACCTTGCTGAACACACCTTGCTGAACACACCTTCCTGAACACACCTTCCTGAACACACCTTGCTGAGCACACCTTGCTGAACACACCTTGCTGAACACACCTTGCTGAACACACCTTGAACACCTTGCTGAACACAACTTGCTGAACACACCTTGCTGAACACACCTTCCTGAACACACCTTGCTGAACACACCTTGCTGAACACACCTCGCTGAACACACCTTGCTGAACACACCTTGCTGAACACACCTTGCTGAACACACCTTGCTGAACACACCTTGCTGAACACACTTCCTGAACACACCTTGCTGAACACACCTTCCTGAACACACCTTGCTGAACACACCTTCCTGAACACACCTTGCTGAACACACCTTCCTGAACACACCTTGCTGAACACACCTTCCTGAACACACCTTGCTGAACACACCTTCCTTGAACACACCTTGCTGAACACACCTTGCTGAACACACCTTGCTGAACACACCTTCCTGAACACACCTTGCTGAACACACCTCGCTGAACACACCTCGCTGAACACACTTCGCTGAACACACTTCGCTGAACACACCTCGCTGAACACACCTTGCTGAACACACCTTGCTGAACACACCTTCCTGAACACACCTTGCTGAACACACCTTGCTGAACACACCTCGCTGAACACACCTTGCTGAACACACCTTCCTGAACACACTTTCCTGAACACACCTTCCTGAACACACCTTGCTGAACACACCTCGCTGAACACACTTCGCTGAACACACTTCGCTGAACACACCTTGCTGAACACACCTTGCTGAACACACTTTCCTGAACACACCTTCCTGAACACACCTTGCTGAACACACCTTGCTGAACACACCTTCCTGAACACACCTTGCTGAACACATCTTGCTGAACACACCTTGCTGGACACACCTTCCTGAACACACCTTGCTGAACAACCTTACTGAACACACCTTCCCTGAACAACACCTTGCTGGACACACCTTCCTGAACACACCTTGCTGAACACACCTTGCTGAACACACCTTCCTGAACACACCTTGCTGAACACATCTTGCTGAACACACCTTGCTGAACACACCTTGCTGAACACACCTTCCTGAACACACCTTGCTGAACAACACCTTGCTGAACACACCTTCATGAACACAACCTTCCTGAACACACCTTGCTGAACACACCTTCCTGAACACACCTTGCTGAACACACCTTCCTGAACACACCTTGCTGAACACACCTTCCTGAACACACCTTGCTGAACACACCTTCCTGAACACACCTTGCTGAACACACCTTCCTGAACACACCTTGCTGAACACACCTTGCTGAACACACCTTGCTGAACACACCTTCCTGAACACACCTTGCTGAACACACCTCGCTGAACACACCTCGCTGAACACACTTCGCTGAACACACTTCGCTGAACACACCTCGCTGAACACACCTTGCTGAAACACACCTTGCTGAACACACCTTCCTGAAACACCACCTTGCTGAACACACCTTGCTGAACACACCTCGCTGAACACACCTTGCTGAACACACCTTCCTGAACACACTTTCCTGAACACACCTTCCTGAACACACCTTGCTGAACACACCTCGCTGAACACACTTCGCTGAACACACTTCGCTGAACACACCTTGCTGAACACACCTGCTGAACACACTTTCCTGAACACACCTTCCTGAACACACCTTGCTGAACACACCTTGCTGAACACACCTTCCTGAACACACCTTGCTGAACACATCTTGCTGAACACAACCTTGCTGGACACACCTTCCTGAACACCCTTGCTGAACACACCTTACTGAACACACCTTCCTGAACACACCTTGCTGGACACACCTTCCTGAACACACCTTGCTGAACACACCTTGCTGAACACACCTTCCTGAACACACCTTGCTGAACACATCTTGCTGAACACACCTTGCTGAACACACCTTGCTGAACACACCTTCCTGAACACACCTTGCTGAACACACCTTGCTGAACACACCTTCATGAACACACCTTCCTGAACACACCTTGCTGAACACACCTCCCTGAACACACCTTCCTGAACACACCTTGCTGAACACACCTTGCTGAACACACCTTCCTGAACACACCTTGCTGAACACACCTTGCTGAACACACCTTGCTGAACACACCTTGCTGAACACACCCTTTCCCGAACACACCTTCCTGAACACACCTTGCTGAACACACCTTGCTGAACACACCTTCCTGAACACACCTTGCTGAACACACCTTGCTGAACACACCTTCCTGAACACACCTTCCTGAACACACCTGCTGAGCACACCTTGCTGAACACACCTTGCTGAACACACCTTGCTGAACACACCTTGAACACCTTGCTGAACACAACTTGCTGAACACACCTTGCTGAAACACACCTTCCTAACACACCTTGCTGAAAAACACCCTTTCTGAACACACCTCGCTGAACACACCTTGCTGAACACACCTTGCTGAACACACCTTGCTGAACACACCTTGCTGA